AACCTGCAAAAAGGTATAAAAACGGACCATTTTTTCGAAAAATCATAGTTTAAAAAAACTCATAACTAAGCCAAAAAATCATTAATTTTAATTCAGAAAGCTGTTCTATGCTAGTTTTTAGTAGATTAACAAGCTGCATACTCAGTTTTCAATTTAAAAAATTCATTTTTGTCAAATTTTGGCAATTTTAATGATGTAACCCCTTATGAAATTTTCAATTTTCGGAAAAATGTTAAAATTTATTTTTGACCGGACATGGCTAGAACGACTGGGCTGTTGTTCTGATCAAGAATATATATGGTTTATAGGGTCGGAAATGACTCCTTCATTGCGTTCAAAGCTTCTGACTTAACTTATATTCTTCAAAAAGTATAAAAACAGGCAATTTTTTAGAAAATAAAAGTTTTTCGACATCATAATTAGGCCGAAATTGCATTAATTTTAATTCGGAAAGCTTTTCTGTGCTAGTGTTTATTGCTCTAACAAATCTGCATACTGCGTTTGTTGATGCTATTGTCAGTTTTTGACTAAAATCATTAAAAACCTGCAAAAGGTATAAAGGACCATTGTTTCGAAAAACATAGTTTAAAACAAGAAGGAAGCAACCCGGCACGCCGAAGTTTATATTACCCTTGCAGATAGACTTCTGTATCCTGATAAATTATATATTTTTCAATAATAATCTCTTCATCTTCACCATAAATTTATTTGCAGTTAAAATTAACAGATTGCATATTTCCTCTACATCAACGATCGTTGTATGGCACCTTATGATATAGTCGTCGATTTCATGAAAGTGCACTAAATTAAGACTAAATAAATGCATACTCAAATTTTGAATCTTGAAACCGAAAAGTTTATATTTTTAATTGTATTAATTTTCATCGTTCCTATGGGAGCTATACTATGTAGTCGATTTTCATAAAATTCTATGCAAATTGTAGAGTATAGTAAATGGCTATATCTCAAATTTGATCAAATTTATTGAAAACTAAAAGTTAAAATTTTTTTTAAATTTTCGATCATCCTATGGAGCTATTGATATAGTGTCCGATCCGGCCCGTTCCGACATATTCGTGAGAGTATATAAGGCTACTACAAGTTTCATTCAGATAGCTTCAAACTGAGAGACTAGTTTGGTAGAACGGACAGACGGACAGACGGACAGACGGACAGACGGAAGACGACGAAGACAACGGACAGAGGACATGGCTAGATCGACCGGCTGGTTGATCGATCAAGATATATATACTTTATATAATCGGAGGTGCTCCTTCACTGCGTTGCAAACTTTGACTAATTATAATACCCTCAGGTATAAACTCAAACTAACCAAAAATCATTAATTTTAATCAGAAAGCTGTTTATGTAGTTTTTAGTAGTTAACAAGCTGCATACTCAGTTTTCAAATTTAAAAAATTCAATTTTTGTCAAATTTTGGCAATTTAATGATGTAACCCCTTATGAAATTTTCAATTTTCGGAAAAATGTTAAAAATTTATTTTTTGACCGGACATGGCTAGAACGACTGGGCTGTTGATTCTGATCAAGAATATATATGGTTTATAGGGTCGGAAATGACTCCTTCATTGCGTTCGAAGCTTCTGACTTAACTTATATTCTTCAAAAAGGTATAAAAACAGGCAGTTTTAGAGAAAAATAAAAGTTTTTCGGACATCATAATTAGGCCGAAATTGCATTAATTTTAATTCGGAAAGCTTTTCTGTGCTAGTTTTTATTGCTCTAACAAATCTGCATACTGCGTTTGTTAATGCTATTGTCAGTTTTGACTAAAATCATAAAAACCTGCAAAAAGTATAAAACGGACCATTTTTTCGAAAAATCATAGTTTTAAAAAAACTCATAACTAAGCAAAAAATCATTAATTTTAATCAGAAAGCTGTTCTATGCTAGTTTTTAGTAGATTAACAAAGCTGCATACTCAGTTTTCAAATTTAAAAAATTCAATTTTTTGTCAAATTTTGGCAATTTTAATGATGTAACCCCTTATGAAATTTTCAATTTCGGAAAAATGTTAAAAATTTATTTTTTGACCGGACATGGCTAGAACGACTGGGCTGTTGATTCTGATCAAGAATATATATGGTTTATAGGGTCGGAAATGACTCCTTCATTGCGTTCGAAGTTCTGACTTAACTTATATTCTTCAAAAAGGTATAAAAACAGGCAATTTTTTAGAAAAATAAAAGTTTTTCGGACATCATAATTAGGCCGAAATTGCATTAATTTTAATTCGGAAAGCTTTTCTGTGCTAGTTTTTATTGCTCTAACAAATCTGCATACTGCGTTTGTTGATGCTATTGTCAGTTTTTGACTAAAATCATAAAACCTGCAAAAGGTATAAAAACGGACCATTTTTTCGAAAAATCATAGTTTAAAAAACTCATAACTAAGCCAAAAAATCATTAATTTTAATTCAGAAAGCTGTTCTATGCTAGTTTTAGTAGATTAACAAAGCTGCATACTCAGTTTTCAAATTTTAAAAATTCAATTTTTTGTCAAATTTGGCAATTTTAATGATGTAACCCTTATGAAATTTTCAATTTTCGGAAAAATGTTAAAAATTTATTTTTTGACCGGACATGCTAGAACGACTGGGCTGTTGATTCTGATCAAGATATATATGGTTTATAGGGTCGGAAATGACTCCTTCATTGCGTTCGAAGCTTCTGACTTAACTTATATCTTCAAAAAGGTATAAAAACAGGCAATTTTTAGAAAAATAAAAGTTTTTCGGACATCATAATTAGGCCGAAATTGCATTAATTTTAATTCGGAAAGCTTTTCTGTGCTAGTTTTTATTGCTCTAACAAATCTGCATACTGCGTTTGTTGATGCTATTGTCAGTTTTTGACTAAAATCATAAAAACCTGCAAAAAGGTATAAAAACGGACCATTTTTCGAAAATCATAGTTTAAAAAAACTCATAACTAAGCCAAAAAATCATTAATTTTAATTCAGAAGCTGTTCTATGCTAGTTTTTAGTAGATTAACAAAGCTGCATACTCAGTTTTCAAAATTAAAAATTCAATTTTTGTCAAATTTTGGCAATTTTAATGATGTAACCCCTTATGAAATTTTCAATTTCGGAAAAATGTTAAAAATTTATTTTTTGACCGGACATGGCTAGAACGACTGGGCTGTTGATTCTGATCAAGAATATATATGGTTTATAGGGTCGGAAAATGACTCCTTCATTGCGTTCGAAGCTTCTGACTTAACTTATATTCTCAAAAAGCTATAAAAACAGGCAATTTTTTAGAAAAATAAAAGTTTTTCGGACATCATAATTAGGCCGAAATTGCATTAATTTTAATTCGGAAAGCTTTCTGTGCTAGTGTTTATTGCTCTAACAAATCTGCATACTGCGTTTGTTGATGCTATTGTCAGTTTTGACTAAAATCATAAAACCTGCAAAAAGGTATAAAAACGGACCATTTTTTCGAAAAATCATAGTTTAAAAAAAAACTCATAACTAAGCCAAAAAATCATTAATTTTAATTCAGAAAGCTGTTCTATGCTAGTTTTAGTAGATTAACAAAGCTGCATACTCAGTTTTCAAATTTAAAAAATTCAATTTTTTTCAAATTTTGGCAATTTTAATGATGTAACCCCTTATAAATTTTCAATTTTCGGAAAAAGTAAAAATTTATTTTTTGACCGGACATGGCTAGAACGACTGGGCTGTTGATCTGATCAAGAATATATATGGTTTATAGGGTCGGAAATGACTCCTTCATTGCGTTCAAGCTTCTGACTTAAATTATATTCTTCAAAAAGGTATAAAAACAGCAATTTTTGAAAAAAAAGTTTTTCGGACATCATAATTAGGCCGAAATTGCATTAATTTTAATTCGGAAAGCTTTTCTGTGCTAGTTTTTATTGCTCTAACAAATCTGCATACTGCGTTTGTTGATGCTATTGTCAGTTTTTGACTAAAATCATAAAAACCTGCAAAAAGGTATAAAAACGGACATTGTTTCGAAAAATCATAGTTTAAAAAAACTCATAACTAAGCCAAAAATTCATTAATTTTAATTCAGAAAGCTGTTCTATGCTAGTTTTTAGTAGATTAACAAAGCTGCATACTCAGTTTTCAAATTTAAAAAATTCAATTTTTTGTCAAATTTTGGCAATTTTAATGATGTAACCCCTTATGAAATTTTCAATTTTCGGAAAAATGTTAAAAATTTAGTTTTTGACCGGACATGGTCAGATCGATTCAACTTTTGATTCTGAGCAAGAATATATATGGTTTATAGGGTCGGAACTGATTCCTTCACAGCGTTTGACTTAAATTACTTTAATATTTATTTCTACTACTAAAGAAATCTTGTTTCTTCTAGTGGGGTGTACAAAAAGACTGCAATTGTGGTGACAATTTATTTTACCAATTTTTTAGCATGCAAGTGTTTCATTTTAAGTGTCTGTTACGTTTTATGGCTGCTTGGTTGAAATTATGGCATCATATTTGTTAACTGAAATACATTTACATTTTCCATACACTACCTGTGTCTCCACCTACACCTCGGGTTGGATTGGATAATACCGAATGGTATTTATGTGAAATGTATATGTTGTACCAGGCTTAAGTTAAATGATTTGTTCAATAATTTTGTAAAAAATATTATTTTTATCATCTATTGATAATTGTATTAAGAAAACCTTTAAGAGGCACCGTTTTCACACTTGGAGATGTACAGCGCAACCTGTACAGCGCAACCTTACAGTATGTGGTATGTTTAACGAATGATTCTTACATACCATGTAAATTGTATTATGTCGCATGTAGAAATAATCATACATGAGACCTGTAAAATTTTGTGTATAATACCTTTTTAGTTCCAATAACGACCACAAATTTGAACTATTTACAGTTTTTACTCACCTGTATTCCGCGCGGCATTGACAGGCTCCCAAAAATAAAAATAAACTGATTCATATTAATTGTAATTAATTATTTGTTCTTAGTAAACGAAATCAACAGCTTAGGTCTAGTTCTTAAACAATATAACTATCTAGATAAGAACGTTTTTGTTACTTCTGGCGCGTAGCAAACGCATAATCAGCGAGTTCTTGTCCAGGCCGTAGATGGAGGTCTGACCAGTAGACTCAGAAAATGACTCATCCGCCGTGTAGTCAGCGTTCTGAGTGGTTGTTTGCAGTTCGTCGGCAGCAAACGTTGTTGGTGTTCACTGCCGGTGGTTTGACTGTGCATCTCCTCGGCCTCGGTCGTGGAATACAGAGCGCTGCTACTGGTGGATGAGTCGATGGATTCACTGGTTGGTGAAGCTGTGGTCTCATCTAGGTCGATGGTAGAGCCCCTGCTGGATGATTCCTCCATAGATGAAGAGGGTCCCAAGCTTGTTGGCAGCTCAGTAGCCCAGGACTGGGTGCTGCTAGGCGGTGCCGTGGTGCTTGGCACAGGTGTGGTTGAGCTCATGTCTGTGCCCAGCATAAACAGCAGCTCGGGAGCAGCATCATCGTAGGCATTTGCAGAATTACCAATATCCAAGTTTAGTAGCTCCGTGGAGGCAAGGCTCAGAATCTTTGGCACCTTGGTCTCTATGTCAGAAATTGTCGCATTGGTGGCTTCCCTTGGCAGTGCTGTGGAGCTGGGCATAGGAGTGGTCGATTTGGTAGCCCCTTTGGTGTCAGCATGAAGAATAGTTCGGGTTCCGAGTCTTCACTGCCATGAGCAGCGTTTTCAATGTCCAAGTTTAATAGTTCTGTAGAGTCAAGAGCCTGAATAGCTGGTACTTTGGCAGGCAGGGGAGAAGTTGTGGTTGTGGTTGTCCTCGTGTTGGTCCACTGATACTGAGATGCCGTTTTGAAGGACGCAGGCTTCTTGCTGAAGATACCCTTGACATTATCCAGAGTTTTTTGTACGAGCCAGTTGTCATTGGTAGACCAAGAGGCTTCTTCGCTAGAGGGCACGTATTTCATCCTGCTGGTTCCGCTTGACTCCTTCAAATCATTAAATCCCGCTGATGCCATATCTATCTTGCGTATCTTCCGGTTATTAGCTTCCAAGGATGGCGGATGCGTAGTCTCGAAGGCTTTCATCGATTTGGGAGCCTTAGTTGTGGGCTTTATACCAGCTCTCCTAATGTGCACCTCTGGTGCTGCGGTAGTTGTCCTCCTTTGAATTCCGTATAGAACGCGTGGAATTAGCGGCGAGTTGCGACTCTTATAGACAGACGCTGTCTTGGTTGCCGCTCCAGCTGACTTTTGGCACTCGCCCTTGTAGGAGAACTTCCAGGCTACGGGGAGATTTAAATTAATCTCTGAATTTAATAGAAATTAGGAGCAACTTACCACTGACGGGATCTTTGCATCGCGCTCGCTCCAGGTAGCACTCATTGATGATCGTGTGGTGGATGCCATTGCGGGTCGCACAAATTGGTTGATACACCGTCGGACAGGGCTTGTCGCATTGACGACAGGCTCCTTCGTGAGAAATTGTCCAAGCTATACGAAAACCACATTCTTAAGAATGAAATTCATGAAAATGCCTTGATTAACTCACCGTTTCCGACCTTCTGGCTGTACTCCATCAGCTCGCAGACACTGGCAAAGGTGCGGCTTTCGGCCTTGAAGCTCCCGCAGATAGGTTCGTTTCCAAAGACACAACTCTTGGCTGTGCCGTGCACTTTTGACTTCTTCTTTGGAGGAGCAACCACATATGGTTTGCGAGCGGGCAGGGAATAGCTCTTCACCATGGCGCCCGTCTGGCTGATGAACTCCGTGTGAAAGGTGGAGGGTGCGTAGATTTCCACGGCGTCCTCAGGTATCTGGAAGTCTTCCGCCTGAGTGGTCTTTCCGTGACTCCTCTTCGTGCGGTCTGCATCCAGCTTTGGTTTGGCTTTCGGCTTGAACTTGCGGCTGTGCTTCATTTGGTGCTGTCCTCGCCACAAAGCCCCTCGGAAACGATGCGCCAATCTGTGCACGAAAAGAAAATAAGAAATTACTTACAATTCAATCTCATAGGAAATACAGCTTTACTGGACTGAGACTTACTCCTCTGAGTCTTGATGTTCTCCGCATTCACCAAGCACTCGTTGGAAAAGGTGGACTTGACACCTGCATACATGGCACACACTGGACGATAGACCTTGGTGCATGGTACGGGCTTAGGTTGGTGCTGTGCCTCAGGCTGAGCACGAGGTTTGGGTCGAGACGAGGGCTTCTGGCTAACCAAAGGCACTGTGTTGTGTCTGGGACACACTCCCAATGCTGCAGCAACCAGATCTGGAGAGACCGATGCTCCAGCAATTCACAGCGGCTCCTGGAGAGACACGATGCTCGCAGCAATTCACAGCGGCTCCTGAAGGTCCTGCGTTCACCTGTCCGGGAGCTGATCCCGCACACGGGCTGGTATCTTGCACTGCAATCGAAATCGCAATTGGGAAGGCAGAAGCGAAGGGGAACATCATCTATGAAAATGAGAAGCAAATTATAAACATTATTATTTTCTGGTTAGCCAATTATACCATTTCAATTAACATGAAACGTTTTAAAGTAAATTGTATTTTTAATTAATGAAATACTCACACAGAGGGCCATCCATGAGGCTGCCTCTCTGGGCCTTCCTCAAGTCACACTCGTTGCCAAACAGGAAATGCATTCCACTTTGCCGACTTTGGGCGCATACCGGAACATCGTCATCGGAGCAGGGCACACCGGCAGCAGTGGCCATCAGCAGGTGGGAAAGTAATCCAATGCTGAGGAGCATCATTTGTCGTTCGGCCATGTTCTTGCAGTTCTGAGACACCGAAACTCAATGCAATTCGAGATGCGACCGCACCTTTTATATGGCACTTGACAGCGGCGGCACGCGTCGCAGTCTGATGCACACTCACCCATGATCATGGTATTATCGGAGCCGAAATTCTGCAGACATCACATTGTGCGATAAACACGCCTGAGACATCAGCATTCTCCGAAATTTGTCACCATCCGATAGATGCTTCGATTGTCCAGACCCGCTCTATTGATGCTCCGATCCATAGAAGCGTCTGCCAAGCGCAGTAGAGGCTCCGGGTGCCGGGTGCATCTGGCTACGTGATATTTGGTTGATTTTGGGAGGGGCTACCAGATAACCATAGATTGTGCATTCGAACAATTTGGCGACAACTTTAGAGTTAGTATCTTTTCCGCTGCTCTCTTAGCTGATAATGGGTGCAGTTATGCGATATCTAACTCTTCAGTAAATTTAATTCCGATGTGGCTTGCAGAGAGAGTGCATAAAAAATTATTTTTATTGGCTGTCACCTCATTTTCACCACCGAATGAATGGGCTAAAATGGCTTACTATATCTGTACAGGAAATAATTATAAGCTACTCATTCAATAAAAAATTCAGAAAATTCTCACGCACGCCTTAAATTATCTCTTGCAATTATTCACCTAAAGATTATTCATCAAGTTCTGATTATCTCAAACGGCTTTAATCCAAGTTCATGTTTTTCTCATGTAAATTGTAACTTGGACAGCCTGCAATACTTAAACTAAACGATACTTAAATATGACAATAATGGAAAGGTCAGGGCTGATAATAAATATTATGAGAATCAATAAACTGATAATTTAAACTAATTTTAAATGAGGGTATAATTTCAGTCAGAAGCTTCCAACGCTTCCAATGCAATAAAAGCTAGCACAGAAAAGCTTTCCGAATTAAAATTAATGCAATTTCGGCCTAATTATGATGTCCAAAAAACTTTGATCGTTCAAATAAATTGCGTGTTTTTATACCTTTTTTTTCTGGGTATAGTTTAAGTCAGAAGCTTGTAACGCTCTAAAGGAATCATTTTCGACCCTATAAACCGTACATATTCATCATATATCATATAATATTGATCAGCATCAAGAGTCGATCTAGCCATGTCCGGTCGAAATATAAAAATTTTCAATAATGAACAAAAATTTTAATTTTCTAAAATTAAGTACCTAGCCTAGAACAGCTTTCCGAAATGAATTTAACGCATTTTTGACATAGTTATAAATATTTTAAACGTTGATTAGCAAGGGTATTAGTTATCGGCTTTTACACAATCACATAATCATCTGCAACAAAAATAGAACACCGTTTGCACACTTATTAAGCCTTGACACTGACTTTCAAATATTCAAAGAGACGTTAATTGGTGTTGTTAAAGACACAGTCGTGGTGCCAAAGGGTACAAGTATTAGCCAATAACCGCTAACCAAATATGCATGTGGGTCAAGTTTCCGCAGATCTGCGACCATCACCAGAGTGTTATTTAATAATAGCTGGCATCCAGTAGGCGCTGCTGGAGTCCCCGCTAATTTGTGTTCTTACGGTTCTCGGCGGCGTATTATCTGGCCAAGAGATCGGAGCTTACTTACCAAGTTGGGATCGCGTCACAGTCACGCGCAGGCGTCATGCCAACTTTGGCAGCTGCTGCTCATCGCGGCTCATCGCGGTGTAGGCCAATTGCTAATTCGAACTTCTCCTCCGGCTAATGACAACAGATTTCAGCAGAAAACTTAGAAAAAGATGCACAGTAGATGTAAGAAAATTGGTCATATAATATTAAAATCTATCTTTGGAAAGCCGAAGTTTGTCGCCCCCTCGAGTTTTCAATTAGGTCAGTGGCCAATTTTTTAATTGATTATAAGTAAGCCAAAAATGCATTAATTTCAATACGGAAAGCTTTCCCATGCTGGGTTTTAAAGAAAGAACCTGTTCTAATAATTTATATCTTTGATTTTGCAGACTTTAAGTACATACATCAACTTTTCCTGAGTGCAAGAACTGGTGCTAAATTACAAAATCTAATAACGCGCAGCGAAGAAGGTGCAATCTATCCGAAAGAAAGCCGCGGAGTTGCACGGAGCTGACTCAGCGGAGTCGCTGAATGTGGCCAGAGAGTCGAATGGAGCCGCTGAGAGCCAGCGAGTGGAGAGCAGAGTGATCGCAGTGCTGCTTAGAGTTGTGGCCAGAAAAAGTCGGGCCAGTCTAACGACGAGAGCTGAAGCATAAAGACATGCGACGTCTCGGGAGCACGGCCGTCAGAGTCATTGAACGCTTGCATTTTCCTGGCCCGAACGCAGATCACACACACATCACACGCCGAGACAGTGTTCGCAAGCAATCGGTCTACACTAAAATAGTTAACACGAGCTTGAACTAAATAAGTGATTAATTAAGTAAGTATGGTGCTGGCCACGCCCCCCGTCGGCAAGGGAGGAAGCTTCATGGAGCAGTATCATCAGTACTCCGCCCACTGCGAGACCGCGGACAGTGGCAATGGCAGCGACCTCGAGAGCAACGGCATCCCGCCAAGCCGGACGACAGCGAGGAGAGCGGTCCCTCCTCCCTGGGCAGCGACTCCATGCATGGCAGCAGCACGGAGTACGTCCGCCAGGCCGCCTCCCAGCCCAGTGGACAGCGGCAGCGCCAGAAATCGCTGAGGAGTCTGGGTGCCCTGCTACCGGACAGCCTGCTCCGTGACATTCGGGATCGACGCGGCTCCGAATTCGTGGTGCAGTTCTCCAGCAAGACCGAGGAGAAGAAGATCCAGGCCACGATCCCGGACCAGCAGAGCAGCCCGTTCCGTCTGTCCCGCGAGTCGTTGAGCGAGGAGAAGATCGAGGAGCTGCGGGCCGCCGTGGAGCGAGCCAACTTTGTGCAAACCGGTGAGGAGACGCTGGACAGCATTGAGGCCGCCCCGCAATCACTGCCAGCGAACACTGGCAACATCAACTACAAGTATGCGGACGACCAATACTACAGCTTTCACATCAACGAGCACGAGAACTTCCCCAGCTTCCCGGGCAACGGCGACGAGGTGGACCATTCCCGGGGAGCTGGAGCGGGATCAGAGGCGCAGAGCGGAATCCTAACGGAGCAGCAAGACCTCTTCGCCGGCTATCGGGATGTGCGATGTGGACCCGGTTCAACGCAGTCCACCATCAGATCGGCCAAGGGAACGGTGCGGGGCGTCAGGAACCGTGTGCGCAATGGAATAGCCACGTTCTTGCAGCTCCACAGCAGCCCAATGCCAAGGTGAGTCGAGGGATCGGGAGTCAGAGGTGGGATTGAAGAGGATTATTAGAATACACTAGGGGTCAGGTGAGGGCAGTGCCAAGAAGCGTGCTTAGTAATGGATTTATCTCTAGCTGAAGTCTTTTCCTCAGACTTGAAGTTACGTATTGGGAATATTACTAGCAAAGATTAATTCAAGCATATTAAAAAAAGACAATAATAACTCATCATCATATACAGCTATGGCTAAAATAATGCCACTAATGATAGCTTGTTTGTTTTAAAAACAATTCTGTGCTAGTTTTTACTGGCTTAACAATTCTGCATATCAATTTCAAAAATTTAGATTACTTTCAGACATAGTTAGATCGATTCTGCTATTAATGCTGATCAAGAATATAGTTTTATAGGTCGAAATGATTCCTTCTCTGAGTTGCAAGCTTCTGACTGAAATAATAATACCCTGGAACAGATATAATGATGCCAGCTGTCTCAATGTATCTTTGCTACAGTTTCGACTGCCTCTGTATATATGAATTCCGATATGAATATTCAGTTATTGGCGGTTACTGGGTTCCCACGCCGCTGGGCGTTGAGTCACCTGCTTTTCGGCCGCCCAAATATGCAATTTGCGCGTTGCTTGCCAGCGCGAGCACTCTGCCAATTGTCTGGGAGAAAGTGCTGGTCTTTCAATAAATATCTCCCGTATTTCGTATCTTGTATCTTGTATCTTGTATCTCGTATTTCGTATTCGTATTGGAGGCCAGCGCAGTTGGCCCGTAATCTAATGAATATAAGTAAGCTGCGCTTTCAGCGTCTTCGGGAGGTTTCTCGACTTCTTCAATTATAATGGAAACCGTTAAGTGGCTTATTTTGTCTCCGACGATGTCGCTTTGTATGCGCTTAGCGCTTAGCGCTCGTTTACAACTTGGCCAGATAGCGCGGACGGCTCAGCTTTCAGCTCTCAGCTCTGGCTCATGCCAGACCAGATATCTTGGCCGAATTCGGCTTTGTTTTTCCGCTTTTCGTTCCCAGAGATTGGTGGTGCGCTTGGTGCGCTGGATTGACGCGACTAATCGCAGTTAATGTCGGGCAGTTGGGGCAGTTGGGAAAACAAATAAAAGAACAGCTAATTCAGTTAATTCCGTGTGGAATTGTCATCGTAAATGCGCTCTGGGACATAGTTTCTTTTATTCCGAGGCGTGTTCTTGGAACTAGTTTTGCATAAAGCGATCCGAGATTGTGAGGCTAATTAATTCATTTGATATATCAATATCTCCATTGATTTATGTGCCTTGCTGTAAAGAGCTTTCTAGATTTTGATTTAAAGTCTTTGGAATACAATACAAGACATTTGATGGGTCAATTTATAACCTCTGATTAATGCTTTAATCTTTATTCTCCAATTATTCTTTGAAGTCTGAAAACTTAGTTTTAGATTGCATAATTTTAATTAAGCCATCGAACCATCGATAATAATCGTCTTGTATTATTATTGTTTCCCTTTCCCTTCCATGATATATGATTTTATATTATTGAAGAGCTTTCTACTATTTGTGATTAGTTTTATTAACTTAAAACTCTTCGAATTTCGCATCTTAATATCGGAAATTATCTGGATTGCTGCTATTAGGAATTCCCCCATCGTAAATGATTGCTGGCTCATATTAGGGTTTCGAAATAGTTGTGATCGATTTCGAGTCTGTCCACATTGAACACCGTTTAGGATTGAAAACCTGTCCCCATTTGATGGATTATCGCCCCAACGCTTTTCCGCCCATTTGAAGCACTTTTCCCCCGTTTT